TAGATGAAAACATCTTAACTTACTCCAAAAGAGACACACTGGACGACAGGAGAAGATTTTTAACTGGTATACTGCTCAGATTTTCAGGACAGGTTACCCAGCTATACAGGAAGTGCTCGTGAAGACCATACAGGAAGTACACTCGAATAATGATAAAATAATAATAATAAGTTGTGTATATCAATGTGACGCTGCTCGCTCCCTTACTATCCATCCTTCTGTTCAAATAGACTTATACTGCCATCCGGTGGTCAAATAAGGTACTACACTTAAAAATTAATCAACATTTCTTCTTAAATTTGACAACAATTACTAATTATTGTCAAATTTCAAACAATATTGTCGTTTTTCTCAATAATTTCTGAGACCATTGATCGCCCAGCAATATTTGTTATTGTGACAGGTCTAACCAAACCATTGCCCTCCCTCCTCTGAGTCCAACCCGTCCAGAGGACCTGGTTGGATTCATCTACCTGGATTATTGAGCGGCATCAGACCATCCTGTGTTTATGAATTTAGGCCCACATTATTACACTCCCTTCTTCGTGCTTCAGCGGTGAAGCTCCACGTGTTCTGTACGAGTCTGGACACGTTCGTTCCGAATCGATTTATCGTTTAATGAACACAGAGGTGAAAGGAAACGAGGCCTTTTTGGTGTTTTTTATGGATAATGTTTGTAGAAGCTTTAAACTCTGAACCACCGAGCTGAAAGTGTTCTGATGTGGCTCTGATCTTCGGCTGATGTGGCTCTGATCTTCGGCTCTAGCTTTGGTTTTGGTGAACACCGTGGTTGTTCTGAGTTCTGGCACTTTGGCTCGTTTTTATCACCGTCGTTGATTTTCATCTTGACGTCGTCACTAATCTTTAGTTTTTCATCCGTCAGGGAGGCGAGTTTCACATTATTCAAAATACAGCGGTGACTTGTACAGCTCCAGACCAAGAACAGGTCCGGTGTTTCAAAACTGTTTTCTGACCCATAAGTTAAATTTTTAAGTAGACATGTGTTCAGATATTACCGTTTGACAGGTAACTCTATTTTGAGTCATTTGACCCCTTGGTGTTATTTCCTGGGAGTGCATTAAATGTAGTTTTATAATTTAAAAAGGCACACGACTGGTTCATTCTTACTGTAAGAGCTGCACAGCCAATCTTAAGCTGCAGGCAACCGAGCTTTGGTAAATCCACCGTTCACTGCACAGCAGGGCTGAAAACCCAGTCGGTGTAGACAGAAGAAGATTTAGCAGCTTAAGAGCTGGATATTTTGCTTAGGTGTTGGTCCAGACCAGAACCACCAGCTGGAGGATAAATAACAGACAACGAGCACATTTGTGAGACTCGTCTCCTCTGAAGTGGCCAAATAAACCCTGAGACCTGCAGGCTGAAGCTTCCCGAGTGGAGGTTTGTGAAATCCCAACTGCGTTTGGATAAATACTCCAATTATTTGACAACCAGTAACTGTAGAGAGCGGACAAACAGAAGTCTTCATCATGAACTGGAGTTTGAAGAAAGTCGAGTCAAATTTATTTATAAAGCTCATTAAAAACAGTTCTTAACAATAAAATCAATGGCAGTAATTAAAGAAAAGATAATATCAAATATTAATTAAAGCATCAAAAGTAAAACACAAAACAATGAAATATTAAATCAAACCACACTGTGTTAAACATCAGTGAATACAGATGTGTCTTTAAAAGATCAGTGAATACAGATGTGTCTTTAAAAGAGATTTAAAAACAGGAAGTGACGTGTCCTGTCTGATGTTGAGGCAGATTGTTCCAGAGTTTAGGACCAGGACTGAAAAAGTCTGATCTGCTCTGAGCTTCAACCAGAAGCAGCTGGTCAGATGATCCCAGCACCTGAGAGGAAACATCTGGATGAAGTAGGTCAGAGAGACATGAGGGTGCAAGGCCTTTAAAGGTCAACAGGAGAATTTTAAAATCTATTCTGATACGTACAGGGAGCCAGTGAAGGGAGGACCAAACTGGTGAGATATGATCAAACCTTCAAGTTCCTGCTGAGAGCTGAGCTGCAGCATCTGGACGAGCTGGAGACGTGACAGGGAGACCTGACTGACCCCAACATGAAGAGCGTTACAGTAGACCAGTCGGGTTGTAACGAAGGCATGGACTAATTGTTCAAGGTCAGATCTGGTCAACACTGACTTCAGTTTAACTTTCTGCTTTAACTGGAAGAAACGTTTCTTCAGGACAGAGTTAATCTGTTCATTAAACTTAAACCTTCCTGAGATTCATAACACACTGATTCAGATCAGGCTGAAGAGGGTCCAGGTTTACAGGATCAGCAGCAGAGCTGTCGGGCCAAACACAAGGACTTTAGATCTCTGATCACTGAAACTTAAACACCTGAATCCATCCATGCCTGGATGTCACCAAGACCTTTTAACAGAAGCTGAATGGAGCAAGAACAGTTGGTTTTAAGTGCATCATCATAACAATGAAGTGACCGACTCTGCTTCCTGAGGAAACGTGGTTTCCCAAGA